CAGGCCCAAAGAAACATAGGTCCCATGGTTTTCCTTGTTTGCAATGACTAGTAGATGTCTAGGACAAACAGAGATGGTCAAAGGCTATGTACATATGACCACATGAGATAATGTTAAGCAAAATGTACCCCAAGACAAAGACACAAGTGTTTTTTTTCTTGCTTGCTAGTGTTTTTAATGTACTTATACTGCAATAAGTAATTCTTTTTTCTTTTGTATGTTCTTCCCCCATGGTATAACCCCTGTTTTCACTGGATTTGATGCCTGTGTTCTGGATCTAGTATATACATTTTTGTAATTTGGGGAGGAGAAGGGATATTGGGGAACACTTAAATGGGGATTCAGGTTGACCCATTGTGACAACGAGATGTACAGGACACTATGTTGAAAACAAACTTTACAATGTCGGGGTCGGGGGGTGGGAGGAGTTGGGGAGGTAGAGAGGGAAGTGAAGGTAGGGGGAAAACAAAGCAGGAGGTAACAATGCTCACTACAAAATGTACTCATTACCTTACTCATCTAACTGTAACCCCTCTGTACAACATTTTTACATATATAAAAAACAACCTAGGGAGAGCCTGAGACTCTGAGGCAAGTGCCAAAAATACAAAATAAGAGGGAAGATAAAAGCAAAACATAGCATCACTCAGCTGAGTTGGATAAACATCAGGAAATTCACATTGGCCTCAGGATTTAGGCAGATGTAACCTTCCTCTTTACCCAAATGCTTTCTCTGGGAAAACTCTATATGTAAGTTCTCTAAAGGTGTATACATGGCAAACACTTTGAGCTAATACATATTATTAATTCACAAAGAAGCAATTAATTTCAAATTCTTGTCCACCCCAGCTCTACAGGACCAAATGAAAAAAACGCAGAGGTATGTAATATGTATGAGTAAGTAGCAAGGATAGAGGAGGGCAAGAGAGGGGCTTTGAGTTTGGAAGCACCTGCATCTCACCCAGATTGAGAGAGTGTCCTGCCTGGGAGGTCCTGTCCATCACTGACCATTCCTAGTGTATCAAGAAAGAATTATTGCTGCAGAAAAGTCTGGGAAGTTTGTAACAAGAGGGCTGACATGGCCTAAGTGGGAAGGGGCATCTACATCTAATCTTCCTCCTGTTTATAAACTCAACAAGTTTGGAATGCAAGTTTCAGGCTCAACAAGGACTGATGGAGAGGGCTACAGATTCAAGCAATCATCAGAGTCCCAAAAACGTCACTAAGTTTTCAGTCATCAGGCCTCGGTGCCTGTGGAAATACCTGTCTACATGCACCCTCGGAAGTGAGTATATAGTATTTACTAGTGGGATGAATGCTTTTCTCATACTTAAAAAAGATGGGGCACCCTCTGCTTATTCTCTCACTCAATTCTCAACTGTAACACTTGCTTTTCTTATATAGTTTCTTAACTTGAGAAAGGAATACTCTATCCATATTTTCCTAAAAGATTTTTAAATCATAAGTGAATGCTGCATTTTATCACATGTAATTTATTTATCCTGTGGTAGATTGCATTGACTAAACATTGATTTTTGAATCAACTTTTCAGAGATTCAATACAATCCAAGCAGAAATAATCAAATTGAATTATAGACTTGAGAGATTCTCTTCTACTAATCTGTCTGCAGATTTCTGTGTGAACGTTGATGGAAGATATGTAGTTTTGTTTTTGTGTGGTATTGGTGGTAGTAAAATCCCGCAATCACAACATACAGTGAAGGTATGAAGTCTAAGAGAAAGAGAGAAAAGCCTCTGTGAACATTTAGGAACTTGAATTTTAGGAGAGTTTCACCATTTGCAGAATTGTTCAGAGTGGCTCACTGTGCATAACTTGATTGCACAAACTTGGTTCATCCTGAGTTAAGAAGTTCCCTGATTTCCAAGCTTGGCAGAAAAGAGTTAAGGCCTGAAAGCTCTACTGGAAAAGGCCTCATGGCAAAGCAAATCTCTGGATGGGTGTGGAACTTAGATTTGAAGAATGTTCCCACGATTCTGACTAGAACGTACAGGATCTGTGCTCAAGCCATTTGTACAACCTGTGACTATGTTGTGGTTTCCTCCTAGGAGTCTGCTGTTTTGAATAGTGCTAGATGTCCACATAACCAGTCCCCAAAAATGTCTCAGGACCTGAATTTGTAGCAAGCTTTTTAAAAAAATTATTGTCATAGTGATGTACAGAGGGGCTACAGTTACACAAATAAAGTAATAAGTACATTTCTTGTCAAACTTGTTACCCCTTCCCTCATTTATCTCCTACTTTCCCTCCCTCCCATACCCCACCCTCAAGTTGTACAGATCATTTCCAACATACTGTCTTGTGTATATCACTGTTGCATTGGTTTCCCCCTTGTCCTTTGTCTCACCATTCTGTTGTTCCCCTTCCCTTCCCTAATTCAAATAAATGTATATACAATACCAGGATACCAAAACCACATACAGTGACAACAGAGGATATACCATAGGGGGAAGTATATACCAGTGAAACAAAAAAAAATCCTATATTAGGGAAATGAACACTAAGATATATATTCAAATGTTTTTTTCATTCATGCGTTTGTTTCTAACACATTTATAAGATTATTTCTTTGTTGCTTTGTATGTCCCTCCCCCATGGTATAACCCCTGCTTTCACTGTATTTGATGTTGTTATAATTTATGGAGGGGAAGGGAAAAAACAAATCATTTAAATAGGGATACAGGTGGACCCATTGCAACAATGAGACGTACAAGTTGTTATGTCGAAAACGAACTTTACAACTTTGGTGGGGGGGGGAGGGTTAGGTGGGGGGTAGGGGGAGGATGGGATGGGAAGGGGAAACAAAGAGGAGGCTACAATGCTTGATAAGAAATGTACTCATTACCTTGCTCATGTAATTGTGACACCTCTGTACAGTATTTGCACAATAAAAAAAAAATCCCATAGCACTTCACTCATGTTGATGGAGGAATAGCACATCCTAGGTGAGTCATTTGGAAGGCGAGCCTCTTGGAAATTGGATATTAATATATAACCACTACAGCTTTTGTGACTTAAGGTTTGTATAATATGTTGTTCTTTGCCTTTCTACATTGTATATATCTGTGCTATTATTACTCGAGATGTTGTTATGGGGAACATATACTATTTATTTTTTTGTTAGTCCTAAGGCTTGAACTCTGGGCATGGGCACTGTCCCTCAGGTTCTTTTGCTCAAGGCTAGTGTTCTACCACATGAACTACATTACCACTTATGGTTTTTATTTTTAGTAGTTTATTGGAGATAAGAGTCTCATGGATTTTCATACCTGGGCTGGCTTGGAACTTTGGTATTCAGATCTCAGCCTCATGAGTAGCTAGGATGACAGGTATGAGCCACCGATGCTTGGCTATATACTCTTTTTTTATATAACAACCTTATTTTATGGACTGATAGCATGGCTCAAGTTGAACAGCATCTCTCCTCTAGGTGGTTAAATAGTGAAATATTTTGTGAACATACTTTCATACAATTATGTTTACTATTTAGCCTGAACATAATGTCAGGGCTTATGCATAGCATTTTTATTTTTAGGTTTTGGCAGTTCAAGGGTTTGAATCCAGACCTTGATGCTTGCTTCGCTGGTGTTGTAGTGCTTGAGCCACTCTATCTTGCCTTTATTTGGCTAGCTATTTGGGGAATGGCATCAAGAGATGTTTGCTTCCTGGGCACGCCATAAATTATAGCAACCAAATTTCTCATGAGAAGATAAGATTGTAGGCTTGATCCACTGCCTGTAGGCAAGTCTAATATTTTTGCAATTTTTTTGTTTTCTTTCTGCTTCCCTGTTTCTCATTATTGTATTACTTTTCTTGGTTTACTGTAGGTTGCTACAATATTTGGACATATTTAGTGTTTTGAGTACACTTTGTGTACTTTTCTTCATAATCATTTTAGTGATGGAAATATATGTATATAATTAATCCTAGTCTATTATTGTCATTATTTTTTACTTCAACTTAAGTGGAGAGGACTTATTTTTATATAAGGGGTCCTTTTATCCTCCTACTTGGGAAATATGTTTTGTTTTGATGGCACTGAGATTTGAACTCAGAGCTTTGTGTGTGGTAGACATTTGTTCTACCCTTTCATTTACACATCCAGTTCTTGGAATATAAATTTCTCATCCATTACTTTTAAAAATGGAACCCAATATCAGATAGTCTTACTTTTCTTTCAACAATTCAAGAGATTTAAAATTACACAAGGGAATGTGTATTTGTTTTATTCATCCTTATTTTTACATATGTCTTTCTTTTCTTTCTAAAGTTCTGGGCCACTTTCTAGTATTGTTTCCTTTGTCTATGAAGAATTTCTTTTAGACATTCATTATTGGTACATCTGCTGGTGACACTTTTCTAAATTTTCTTTCATCTGAGAACATCTTTATTTCCCCACAATTCCAGAAGTATATTTTCCTGAACCTGGAATTCAGAGGTGACTGTTCTTTACTTTCACCATTTGGGAAATGTACCACTTACTTCTAGACTTTTCTGGATTCAGAGGATTTATGTGCTATGCAAGCATTTAAATCAGTGTTCCTCAATAGTTAATAAATTTCTCTCTAGGTGCAATATGGATTTGTTTTAAATTTTAAGTTTCATAAGTTTCATATGGTATATCTTGGTCTGGATATTTTTGGGGTTTGCCTTGCCTATTTTGTGGTTGTGGTTCCAATGACAATTTAGTTTTCAACATTTTCTGCTTCGCTTTGTTTGTCTACTACTACAAGCCAGATTGTTTTTGAGATGCATGCCATGCTGATGGACAATTTTTAGATCTGCAAGCGGAGTGATTTAGAAGTTTCACAATTAATTTGGACTGGTGTTTTTTTCTACTTGCAGAAATTACCATAAAAACTTAATGAATATCCCCACTGGATCTGACTAGAGGTTGAGGCTCGCTGGCCAGATTTGCTGCAGGATTCTGACCCAGAGTATCTGAAGTGATTAATATTAGCCCCTCAAATCTCCACCAAAAATGGCCTCCAAGGAGACTGTATCACAAAAACGAAGAAAGAGACAGAGCAAAAGGTCTGCAAAAGTTGAAGAACTAGCACCTGCAGAGTTTGAGGTGGAAAAAGTATGGTGTAAGATGTGGCAATATAGAATACCTCCTGAAATGGAAAGGATATTCAGGTACATATAATTCCTGGGAAAGTGAAGAAAATTTAAACTGTGCTGACTTAATCACAGCATTCATAAATTCTGATGAATCTGGTTCACCTCCAAGTGAATTTGAAGATAGGAATGGCTTTGCTAGGGGTCTGAAACCGGAAGAAATCATTGGTGTCACAGATGTTTGTGGAGAATTGATGTTCCTCATGAAATGGAAAAATGCAGATGAAGTTGAGTTGGTGCTGACAAAAGAGGCTAAGACTAAATGCCCTCAACTTGTAATTGCTTTTTACCAAGAAAGACTAAATTGGAATGGAAGATGAAACAGAATAATTGTTTCCATTGATTGAAATATATACATTGAACAATATATGATCCACTATGATCTGAATCTTGTGTTTAGCATTAATGTTGTGAAACAACAACCACATTCTGATAAAATCTGGTTTCATATCTTGGTTCTGAATGTAGTATTTGTGCTGTTCTGGAGATTTTTGAATTAAATATATCACAAACTTTCTGAAGGTTTTTTTTTTATCTATCAGAAAAGAAAGTTTGCTTCCAGGCTATATTTTCATTTTTTTTTTGTTTGTCATGGGGCCTGAACTTTACAACTTTGGTGCGGGGGAGGGGCGTGAGGGGGGACAGATGGGAAGGGATGGGAAGTGCAAACAAAGGAGGAGGCAACAATGCTTGATAAGAAATGTACTCATTATCTTGTCCATGTAATTGTAACCCCTCTGTACAGTATTTTCACAATAAATTTTTTTTTTAAAAAAGAACAGGCTTTTCATATATCAGGCAAACATATTAGTTATTACTTAATCAAAAACACTGTTTATAATGGTTATGTTGAAGGAACATCCCAAAGTTTTGTGTTTGTGTTTGTATTTATATAACACTTATATTGGCAATGTGTTTTTTTTTTTTTGAGATTTTGTTTATTTTGATTGCTGGACTCCACACCCAGGCCATAAGCTAGCCACATGATCTATCACTCAAATACATCCCTGACCTCTGTTTTGTTTTTGAGACTTGGTCCCTGGGAAGCCCGTTCTGGCCTTGATCCTGCCAGGCATCAAGCTTGACTCAAATTTTAGGTTTTCCTGCGTCTGACATAGAAATGTAAACCCAATACTTTCTTTGCAATTTTTTTCTGAAGAGAATATATTTTAAAATCAGTATCTTTACCACTCAGATGAACAAATTACACATCTTTATTTCCCTTAAGTAGCTGAGCAAAACTCCGTGGTCACTGAAAACTTTCAGTAGTGAACCACTACTTTACAGAATAGTGAAATATGTATACAGAAAGCTGATGAATTTTAGCATATCTAAGACTCAGCCTGTGGAAAAGGAAGAGGCTACTTAGAGATTTTGACAACTGAGGGCCTAAATGGGTTAAGAAAATTTCATAATCATTGACTTGAACATTTTGCATTTCTCCAATTCATTCCTTACAAGTAGGGTTAATTTTTCTCAGTATTGTATTACTTGTGCCAGAAAAGCCAGAAAAATAATTTGTGTAAGCCAGAAAAATAATTTGTGTCATCATCAGAATGTTACCTCACTATATATTGCTTACTTAATTTTTATAATGATGAAGAGTGGTCAAAAAAGAGGTTTTCTTAGAGCCAAAAGGATCTGAGAGAGTACCTAGGTCTTGACTTCTAGTCCAGAGATTGACACTCACAGAACAACAATTTAAAAATTACAGGTTGACACATTGCAACAATGAGATGTACAAGACCCTATGTCGAAAAATGAACTTCACAATTTAGGCATGGGGGGTGTGGACAAAGAGGAGGAAACAATATTTGATAAGAAATGTACTCATTACCTTGCTTATGGGATTGTAACCCCTCTGTACAGTATTTTCACAATAAAAAACTTACTTAATAGAAAAATTAAAGAATATTTTCCCATGCTCTACTCTGATACCATTCTTTTATTCTGATTGGAAGGATGAGGGGCACAAGTAGCCCCTGGTAGACAATTAACTCCTGGTTTGTCCTGTGATTTCTGACATAACAGTGAGAGGCAGAGGGAATATCAAGTCTGTGTGTATCCCCTCCAGGATTCTCTTGTGCAAAAGTACAAAGAATCTACTCACCCAGGAGACACTTGCTAACAACATTGTAGATGAAAAAGTTGCCTCTTAGCTGTGTGCTTGAAGACTCCAGTGTGGGATTTGATTCTTCCTTGGTATAGTGAAGGGAACAGCAGCAAATAGGGATGAAAATTGCTAATTAGGCCTATGTGTGTGTTCACTGATTGGGAGAAGGGTTAAAGTGCAAACTCTGGCTACCTGTTTCTGCTACACTGGGGTCATGTGATCAGAGAGCCTGGGGTCACTCCAGGAATCCACTGATGCCAGCACTTGGGGAGAAGACATCTCTGTGTGCCTGGTGCAGTAGAGGCTCAAGCCTGCTCTTGGTTGTTGATGCCAGAAAACAGAAGAGGAAAGTACAGGCCCAGCTGCTTGGTGATTCTAGGTGTCCCAACTGAAGCATGAGGACTGCTCCCTGAAGTGAACAATAAGGTCCACTTAGCTGGCTCAGTACAAAAAAGAGGCAGTGTGTGTAATTAGGCTGTGGCTAACCAGGTGTCACTAGAGCCTGTGTGGTTAAAATGGTGTTTCCAAAGGCTATGGTAGCCCATTCCTGTTCATCTAGCTAATGGGTCAGCAAAGGTGAGTGTGGGTGAACATTGGCTTGGATCCAGCCCAGACAAAAATTTCTTGACCAAGGTCTGAACAAGGAAACATCACCTGTTCAGATTGGTTGTATGGTCAAAATGGTGGAATGCCTTCTGGAAGCAAGAAAGAGAAGAAAGAGGAGGAAAGTGGCTGAATGTGAGCCCATGCCCAGTGCACACACACTAGTACATACAGTCACTCATTCATCATTTTGCTTCACCTCTGTGTCTATGGGAAACTTAAGAGTGTCGAGAGAATAATTGATGATTGTATTCAAAGTAATTGAAGACTGTATTGAAGACTATAACTAAACCACAAATTCCTGTGAATATGGCCCAACTGTTGCTCTGCCAGTGTATCTGTTACTATGCTAGTTTATGAGTGCGGCCTAGAGAAGGCCAGAAATCTCAATACAAAAGCAATATGGTAACTGGAGATGTGATCCAGGTGATAGATTAGCACCCAGATCAAGAAAGTTAAGTGAAATTACGTGACTCCCTAAATCCTAGTCTCATATTTACCCATCTCCCCCATGAAATACATACACAATCATGCACACATACACACACACACACACACAAACACACGAACACCCATGCAACTCATGCACAAAAGATGTCAGAGTGGAAGGGCCTTATGTGCTTGAGTGGAAGCATGCATTGGTGTAGGGGAATTTTTAGCTGTTTATTCAAATTATAATTAAACATGAGTCACTGTATTGTAGTTCCTATGGTAAAATGGTGTTTTGCAATATGAGGAGCCACCTATATTGTGTGCAGATGCCTGCTTTGAGCACTAGTGGTGACAGACACACACAGGTTCAGAGTTAGCAACAAGACGGGAGAAAAATAGCCACCTTGCTGTTTGCCAGAAGCTAGGTCCAGAGATTTAATCTAGGTCTGTTGTAGAGGAAGGAGATGTTTGGGATATGTATGGAAGTGCCAACTGTGGCTCTTAGCTTCTTCTCTGGGGTCCAGTATCAGATAATATGTAATACTCTCTAGTTATCTAAGGTTGCCAGCAGTTGTGCAAACCCACTGTGGCATTGCATTTTAATATGGTCTGTTAAAGTGGTGAATCTGGAGACTGGGGTGTCTAATCATTTTATCCTAGAGAATCCAGTGACATAGTTATGGGTATAGGGTGGAAAGCCAGGCTGTTCCAGAATCACTCTTCCAAAACAGCGTTTGTGTGTACTGGGAGCATGGACCAAGATATAATAATGCTAATTAGCAAGAAGAAAGCAATGCTGAGACAGCAAGTCCCTACATCCGAGTCCCCAGACCAGCGCAGCACATACAGCAGGCTTTGGCATACTGCTGTGACTCACCCTCAGAAAGAAGCTGAAGGTGGCACTGAGGTAGTTGGTGACATTATAGAAACACTAAGGAAACATAAAATGAATGAGGTTGTTTCTCCACTGGTGTAGTGCTGAGTTGTTAGTACACACTGGAATATCTCCCAGACCCATATCAATCCCTCATTTGTCAGCCTCCTCCTGTCAGTGATTGGTTCCTCACTGTGCATGGTAGGGTGAGTGGCAGGAGTCGGTCCTGGGATAGTATGCATGAATCCAGGCATCTAGATCGTCTACAGGGTCACGACGACTTGTGTATGCGTGGGGTCATGACCTTGGACGGCATGGTGCGCAGGCGCAAGCAGGGGCACTAGAGGTCTAACGGTCGCGTGGTGTCCACTGGCAGTCCCGGCGCTGAGGAAATTGCCGCCTGGCTGTTTGCCGCGTGGCGGCTGCAGAGGTCTGCTCTTCAGTGGGTTCTTGGAAGACGCCGGCAGGGAGAGAAGAGGGGGACACGTGGTTCTTTGGGAGCGGGGTACAGTGGTGAGGGTGACTCCCTTCTCGTGCTGGGGCTAGGCCGTAGGCGTTCCTGTCAGGGATCCCGGATGCCAGCAGTAGGGGGAACACGTCTGGCTCCTCAGCCTGGTGCCATTGGGGTGCGGCTCTCTCTCGGATGGTGCCGCCAGGCAGTGGAGGGGAAAGGATGAACCCAGGTCACGCGGGGACCCTGGGCCACCTCAGCAAATGCACCCCAGGAGGAGGGAAGATGTGTGGGGTGTGGGGGGGAATGGGGAGTAGAGACGTGGACGCTGTTTCTCTGCCTTCGTCATCCACAGAAACCGCTGGCTGGGGCGCAAAGGCCCTAAGGATTCCCAAGATCTGCTCTGGCTGTACTGGACCGATGTGAACCGCATTGCTGCCTGGCTGTTTGCCGCCTTGCCAAGTCCACAGGTCTGGTCCTCAGATCGTCCTTTGAAGTCGCTATCAGGTAGGGAAGATGAGAGGAGACGTGTTTCTTTGGGAGCAGGTTTTAATGTTAAGGGTGGATGTTTCTTCTGCTGGGTCATCATGGCTCAGGTGATCTCAGTTCTCTGGGTATCCACTAATGCCTGCAGTTGGGCCAAATAACCTTACGTCCTGCTTCGTCCAGTTGCCATTCCCTCTTGCTCTTGCTTGATGTCATAGGAGGAAGAAATTATGTCCCAGCCCCCCTGGTGTTACTGGGCCTCTCCTTTGAATTTCAGCTAATGTGCCCTGAGAGACAGAGCACGGTTCCTCCCTGACCGCACAATCAGGACTAGATCCAAATTCTCTATCCTTACATATTT